ATGAACTTGGGGGACATCATGCTGAGTAACATAAGTCAATCACAAAAGGACAAATATTGTATTAGTCCACTATTGTAAAAAGTCAAGGAAAGATTTATGTATGTAAGGAATTTTCTTTGTTGGTTACCAGGGTGGAAAGGGTGCGTGTGTGTGTGTACAGAAGCTAAGGCGGTAAGTCTTTATAGAAGCAGATTGCCCCATCTTCCTTCTGCAGAGCAGCTGGTGGGTATGAACCGTCAACCTTCTAGTTAGCATGCTAATGCCTTCTGTACACATGCAAACAGCTTCTGTACACACACACACACACACACACAAACACAGCAACTACAGATTATTAGTGGGTAAGGGGAGAAGGAAAGGGGAACCTTTTGTTTGCAGGCATTGAGTTTATGCTTATGGTGGCACAACATGAAAATGCCATCAAAGTTTTTGAACTGTAAATGTGGAAGTTGTTATGTTGGTCAATGTCTTGGTATATATATTTTCACCACAATAAAAGTGAAAAATAAAAATAAAATACTCCAGAGTCTTCTCCCCAACCATGCCAATACAGTAGCAAAATTCATGGTTTTGAAGATGAGATCTACTGACCGAAAGTTTTAGAGGATAAAACTAATTTAAGTTTCAGAATAGCTGGCTTCTATCCAGGTGAGTTGTAAGTCTATCGCCCTTTCAGGTCTCCTTTTAGCTTTCTTTCAGTTCCCAGGGTTGTTTGCTTAAAAAAGAAACTATGACATGACTGTAACAACTCTTTCCCAATATTTGTTACGTTAGTCTTACGTTTTCCCAAGTAAATTCTACAGAACACCAGTTTCATGGCCATTATTAGTAGGTAATAATGTCAGATAAGTTTGGAAAAGGCTAAAATAATAAAGTTGAGAAGTTTTGTTTACTGAAGAACTCATAGCTATTAATATGCTTTTTCATATGTAAAAGAATACTTTTCAAAAGTCTCTTACTTACCACTTTTCAGGAAATCTACATGTGCATCTTTGTGATGAAGTAGCTCTACATCATAATTGGCAGATGTGTTAGCATGCTGTTCTTCCTTAAAGTAAATTTTAAAATAGTTGAAATAATTCGGTTTTACGTTCAGTAATGAAGTTATTACTTATTCATTTTGCTTTTGCTTAAAGTGGGGTCTAATACATTCAACAATAATTAGCAATAATAATGGGATAGTTTGCTCAGTACTTAACCTATTTAAAGATGCAATAGTTTTCCACAGCAATATGAACACTGTAAATAATTACTGGCTACATAGTGATAATAATTAATGATTTTTTACTTTATGTCAGAATTAACACAGATGACTAATCTAGAAATTTTAGAAATTTATTTTTTTATACAATATGTAATTAAAATACATTAATTGAAAGTGACAGTTATTTAAATAAGGAAACAGCATCTTTAAATACTCACATAAAATTAGCAAACACTGTTTACATAAAATAGCAAACACAGACTAATAAGTGTGGTAACTTGTTTTTACTAAATAATAAGTAATTTCAACATTATATATACATATACCAAAAAAGACAAAGATCAAAGGGAGAGTCACACCAGTAACAAACAAATATGGTCAAAATTAACACGCAAGGTATTTGTCACTCTCAGAGTATTTTTCTTATAACTAATATAAAATTATATATATTAAAGTATATCTATAATGCTATTTTCCCTGTTAATTGCTCCTGCCCCTAAAAAATCCTATTGGGTAAGCCTACAATTTCTACCAAAGAATTAGTCAATGGCTTAGAAGGAAAATAATAAAAAGATTCTATTTCTAATGCAACTTATTGTTTATGGTATAAATCAAACCAAACTCACTGCCATCGAGTCGGATCCGACTCATAGCAACCCCTCCTTGGGTTTCCGAGGCAGTATCACTAAGGAAGTAGATTGCCCAATCTTCCTTCTGAGGAGTGTCTGGTGGGTTTGAACCGCCAACCTTATGGTTAGCAATCAGATGCCTTGGGCACTGTGCCCCCAGAGCTCCTGTTCATGGTAGAGTGGTAAAAAAATGAAACTGGAATTATGTAAGAAATCCAATTTGAATTTTAGATATAGTGGCTACCTTGTATTTGTAGACACAATCAACACAATTCAACTCTATTCAATAAAAAATCATTTAATATTTACTAGGGTCCAGGCATTGTGCTTATCTCAGAAAATGTAATGATAATATTAAGAAAATAACAGGCAGCAATATTCCTAAGAAAAATCTATTAGTAAAAGCATACGACTCACATCTATATTTTCTAGCCACAGAGTAATAAACTAATAGAACTTCCATAGTCAGAACCCATTAGTTACAAACACCTTTATAATAGGTAAGCAAGAACAAAAATATAGGAAATAAAAGATTCGTTAGAGTACACAAAATAAGGAAAATCTATTAATACTAACATAACTGCCAGGAAAAGAATCACAGAAAAAAAGTAGCATTTTAAGATAGTGATTATATCTCAATGAAAATAATGAGAACACTTAAAAACAAACCAAACCAAACCAACAAACAAAAAACCTCCAATAGCTTGTTCTTATTGGAATGAAAAATACAGTATTTTGTTCTGTGATCTTTTCTTGGTGCTTTTCAATATTTACTGACCTGGTCAAAGACACTGATTGTGGGCTAGCAAAGCAAAAAAAGTAATATGGGGGGGAAAAATGTGAATTAAAATAAATAATACATGTTAAACAAGTATTTAAACAGCAGTCAGCCTTCAAAATAGCAGGAAAAAGAACGACCTACCTTCATGGGAATATTTGTAATAGTAGTTGAAGCCAAGTCAAAATGTTGCTGTACTAAAATATTCAATTTAGTAGCAAGATGTCGTCCTGCACGAACACTATGAACTTCACTGGTTAAAACTGGGGACAACTATAGAAAAGGATGAAAGAGAAATAATCCCAAACAGTAATACATTATAACCTAGCACTAAATATTTTCACTTTCCAGAATGCGGAAAAAATAAAAAGGTCCAAAAACTAACCACGATATTTCTATTAGCTATAAATCTCCATGCATTGATTCACTCAATAAATATGTATCAAGTAGAGCTTACTATATACCAGAAAGTGTGTAAACATTCAAGGTTTCAGGACTAAACAGACAGATACAGTCTCTGTCCTCTTAACACTTAGAATGGAATATTCTTTGATTTAAATACCTTTTTAATTTATAATTTTTACTTGGTTTATAAGAAAAATGGATTTGAAGTGGTTCATAGAAATAATATAGGAAAAATTAATTCATTTTGTGGGGAGGGAAAAAAAACTGTGCAGATTAAACTGCTTTTTAGAAAGAAATGTGGAAACCACCACCACCATCTCATTTCATCATCAATAAATTAAGGCTGCCAAAAATTACTTACAAGTTAACAAAATTTTACTAATTTAGGGCCATAGTATTTACTGTAAATAAATGTTTTATCGCAAAGTAAAGACAACATATTGCTACATCATCAAGAGGCAGAAAAAAAAAAACAGAAAGGGGCTAACACTGCAAACTATCTAAAAAAAACACATTACAGAGATATATTACTTAAACAATACAACTACAAAAAATTCAGACTAAGTTAATACTTGACATGTTTATATTGTTGTTGTTAGGTGCCATTGAGTCGTGTCCAACACATAGTGACCCTATGCACAGCAGAACAAAACACCGCCCAGTCCTGAGCCAGCTCCATGATCCTTGCTATACTTGAGCCAATAATCGCAGCCTCTGTGTCAATCCATCAATGCTGAGGGCCTTCCCCTCTTTCATTCACCCGCCACCTTACCAAGAATGCCATCATTCTCCAAGGAATGGTCCCTTCTGACAACATGACCAAAGTAGGTGAGACGAAGTCTGGCCATTCTCGCTTCCAAGCAGCATTCCAGCTGCACTTCCTCCAGGACAGATCTGTTAGTTCTTTTAGCAGTCCACGGTACTTTCAGCATTCTTCACCAGCACCACAACTCAAAAGCATCAATTCTTCGGTCTGCCTTATTCATTGTCCAGCTCTCACATGATTATGAGGCAATTGGAAGTATCATGGCTTGTGTCAGGTGCACCTTAGTCCTGAAGGAGACATCCTTGCTCCTCAGCACTTGAAACAGTTCCTTCGCAGTTGACTTTCCCAATGCTACACGTCGTCTAATGTCCTGACTGCTGCTTCCATTGGCATCGACTGGAGAACCAAGCCATGTGAAGTCTTTGACAATCTCAATCTTTTCTCCATTTATTGTGATGCTGCTTACATAGTTCCAGTTGTGAGGATTTTTGCTTTCTTTATATTGAGGTGTAATCCATACTGCAGACTATATTCTTCAATCTTCATCAGTAAGTGCTTCAAGTCATCCTCACTTTCAGCAAGCAAAGTTGTGTCATCAGCGTATCGCAGATTGTTAACAATTCCTCCTCCAAACTTGATGCCACATTCTTCTTCATATAGTCCAGCTTCTCGGATTATTTGCTCAGCATGCAGATTTAATAAGTATGGGGAAAGGATACAACCCTGACACACTCCCTTCTTGATTTTAAACCATGCAGTGTCGTCCCCTTGTACTGTTTGAACAACAGCCTCCTGGTCAATGTACAGGTTTCTCATGAGCACAATCAAGTGTTCTGGAATTCTCATTCTTCTCAATGTCATCCACAATTTGTTATGTTCTACACAATCAAGTGCCTTTGCATAGTCAATCAAACACAAGTAAAAATCTTTCTGGTATTCTTTGCTTTAAGCCAGATTCATCTGACAGCAGCTATGATATTCCTTGTTCCACATCCTCTTCTGAATCCAGCCTGCACCTCTGGAAGTTCTCTGTCAATATACTGCTGCAACCATTTTTTAATTATCTTCGGTAAGATCGTACTTGCATGCGACATTAATGATATTGTTCGATAATTTCCACATTCTGTGGGATCACCTTTCTTTGGAATGGGTACAAATATGGATCTCTTTCAGTCAGTTGGCCAGGTAGCTGTTTTCCAAATCTCTTGGCATGACTGAGTAAGTGCCTCCAGTGGGGCATCGTTTGTTGAAACATCTCAATGGGTATTTCATCAATTCCTGCAGCCTTGTTCTTCACCAATTCCTTCAGTGCTCCTTTGACTTCTTCCTTCAGTACCATTGGTTCTTGATCATATGGCACCTCCTGAAATGGATGAAGATTGACCAGTTCTTTTTGGTACAGTGGCTCTGTGTATTCCTTCCATCGTCTTCCGATGCTTTCTGCATCATTCAATATTTTGCCCATACAATCTTTCAATATTGTAACTCAAGCCTTAAATTTTTTCCTCAGTTCTTTCAGCTTGAGAAATGCTGAGTATGTTCTTCCCTTTTGGTTTTCTAACTCTAGGTCTCTGCACATTTCATTACAGTAACTGGCTTTGTCTGCTCGAGCTGCTCTTTGAAATCTTCTGTACAGCTCTTTTATCTTGTCATTTCTTCCATTTGCTTTAGCTACTCTCTGCTCAAGGACAAGTTTCAAAGTCTCTTCTGTCATCCATTTTGGTCTTTTCTTCTTTTCTCATCTTTTTAGTGACCTTTTGCTTTCTTCATGTATGATGTTCTTGATGTCATCCCACAATTATTCCGGTTTTCGGTCGTTGGTGCTCAATGCATCAAATCTATTCTTTAGATGGTCTCTAAATTCAGGAGGGATATATCCAAGATCTTATTTGGCTCTCATGGACTTGCTTTAACTGTCTTGAACTTCAAGTTGAACTTGCATATGAGCAGTTGATGGTCTGTTCCACAATCACCTCCTGGCCTGGTTTTGGCTGAAGATACTAAGTTTTTCCATCACCTTTTACCACAGATGTAGTCAATCTGATTCCTGTGTATTCCATATGGTGAAGTCCACGTGTGTAGCTGCCATTTGTGCTGTTGAAAAAGGGTATTTGCAATGAATAAGTCGCTGGTCTTAGAAAATTCTATCATGCGATTTCCAGCATCATTTCTGTCACCGAGGCCAAATTTTCCAACCACCAGTGATTCTTCTTTGTTTCCAACTTTTGCATTCCAGTCACCAGTGATAATTAACACATTCTGATTGCATGTTTGGTCAATTTCAGATGCAGAAGTGATAAAAATCTTCAATGTCCTCATCTCTGGCTTTGGTACTTGGTGCATAAATTTGAATAATAGTCATTTTAACTGGTCTTCCTTGTAGGCACATGGATATTATCCTATCACTGACAGCACTGTGCTTCAGGATAGATCTTAAAACATCCTTTGTGATGATGAAGGCCACGCCATTCCTCTTCAAATTGTCATTCCTGCCATAGTAGATCACATGGTGGTCTGATTCAAAATGGCCAAAACCAGTCTATTTCAGGTCACTAATGCCTAGGATATCAATCTTTATGTGCTCCATTTCATTTTTGACAACTTGCAATTTTTGTAGATTCATGCTTTGTACATTCCATGTTCCGATTATTAATGGATGTTCGCAGCTGTTTCTCAATTTGAGTCATGCCACATCAGCAAATGGAGGTTTTAAAAGCTTTACCTTATCCACATAATTAAGTCTGGTTCTACTCTGATGATGCAGCTCTTTCCTGGTCCTATTTTGAGAGCCTTCCAAACTAAGTGGCTTATCTGCCTGCACTGTATCAGACAATGTTCCCAGGCTATTCATAAAGTTGCACAGTAATGTATCAGACAGCATTTCTCTGCTATTCATAAGGTTTCCCCTGGCCAATTCTTTGAAAAGTGGATGGCCTCCTCCTTCTTCCTAGTCTGTCTCAGTCTGTAAGCTGTTGAAACCTGTGCACCACGTGCAACCCTACTGGGTTTGAGACACTGGTGGCACAGACTCAAGCTTCACAGCAACACGCCAGCCACCACAGTAGGACAAACTGACAGACAAGTCTGTCTCTCTTAGCTTTTCAAAACCTCTCCACCTTCCCAACCTTCCCCTTACATAGATCCCTGCCTCTTTCTTGCCACTTGGGAGAGCCATGGCCTGGGTTCCCAGTCTTACTGGATCCCTGCCTCTGCTTCCTTGCTCTGTCCTGGTCTCGCGCCCCACCCCTGCTGGCTTTTTCTCTGCTTTCCCGCTGCTTGGGAGGGGCGTGGCCTAGGACCCTGGCCTTACCTGGATCCCTGCCTCTGCTTCCTCGCTCTGTTTATATTAAGTAATCTAAATGAAAAACAAGAATATAAGAATATACCTCAATAACAAAAAGACAAACAATCCAATTAAAAAATGGGCAGAAGACATGAACAGACACTTCACCAAGGAGGATATTCAAGCGGCCAACA